TGACCTTCTAACCAGCCACGTCAATGGGGAAAGCCAGATTCATTTAACAACCGTGTTCTGAACTGCACATCTGCAGTAATTCGCTTAGCAATTGCTGCAGGGAAGGTTGTAAAATGGGACAACGTTCACTTAACATCTGTCTCACTTAGCCACAGAAATTTTGGCCTCAGTGGAAGTGGTAAATTGTATAAATCCCAAACCAACTCCCAAGTTTCTAATGAGTACAAGAGGAGAGGAAGTGAGTTGTTTTGCACCTTGTTGAAAAATGGGAGAGGCATTTCCAACTGTATTACACACTGATCTGCATAACTAGGACGGACGCCTAGATACGGAAGCCAAACTGAATTACTTCTATCGTTGGACTATATAATGGAATGGAAATATAATTCAGGTTTATCACAGTCCTATGCAAAGGGGAGGGGATAAAAAGTCTTCCAACACCTTTTTTTTACTCCGGAGAAGTCCTGAAGAGATATTAGGCTGGGATGGGGAGAAGATTACAGATCTTGCTTCTCGTACAACCTGGGTTATCAATACACAGCTATTGAAACCTCTATTTAATGGAATCCTATTTAAGGGACGTCCTAAGCAGGGGGACATGCTGGCTGGGGAATTCTGGGAGTTGCCAAGGTTGAACAAGTTGCCAAGGTTGAACAACGCTGGTCTCCCAGACAAGGAGTCCTCGACTTATAAGCACAATCGGGATCAGAATTTCCACTACTAAGCCAGGCAGGGAGCCACACTCAATTTTATGACTTTTTAATCATGGTTGTTAAGCAAATCGCCGCAGTCATTAAGTGAATCATGCGGTCATTAAGTGAATCGGCCTCTCCCATTGACTTTGCTCATCAGAAGTCGGCAGGGAAATGGCGATCACCTGACTTAGAGATGCTGCAACCGTCGTAAACACCTGCTGGTGGCCATTTTGATGTGGCCACAGGGATGCTGCAACAGTCATAAATGCGAGGACCGGTCGTAAGTCATTTTTTTCCCGGGCCGCTGTAACTTCAGTCACTAAACCGAGGACTGCAATTCTGATTATATAGCACGGTCTGCTTGCAAAGGCCTGTTTTAGCATGTGCAAAGATCCTCTCCTCAATCCACAATTGGCCAATTATTCAGAATACTCCCGAGCAGGTGCCGATGTGTACATTCCTTGAAGGGCTGTTCCAAGCCCTTCTTTATCCTGGAGAAAACCATTTGTAAAAGTCTGGCAAGGATTGCTCACTGTGGCTCTCCAACGATCCAGGATTTTTCCACTGGAAAGGAATTCACTTCATCCCTGCAACCTGCAAGGTTTTTCCAGCCAAGGTATCGTCCTGCCGCTTCCCTCCAGGGTCCAAGTGCGAACTTAAGAAGGGGGACATCCCTGAAGTCACCCAAACAAAGCCGATCAGAGTTCTCCTAGCTGGTTCCAAGATATATTAAGAGCACGGCTCTATCTTTAGAGACAGCTTAATCTCGGAAGCTTGTTCCTCTCACCTCCGGCTAAAGTCAGTGTTTGCCTTCAGCCGGTTCATCCTGCTCTCCCACTTCCTGCCCAGGAGGCTTTCAATCTGCTAAACGTCCATGGAGGGTGCTAACCTTGAAACCCATCCACGCAGGTGCCCGCCCTCAAAAATCTTTTTTTTTCTCCAAAAGAGGACATGCCAGCTGCTTCTGCATCGCCACCCTGAAGCTCCTCCTGGCCTTCAGGCTGGTGGGCCTGGGGCACTGCCCTCCTGTGGGAGTGGGCTTAAAAAAGTCACACACACAAACACACCCCTGTCAGTGTGGATATCCCTGTGGGGAGGGCTCAGGGGTGACTGGGGCCGCTCAGCTCTTCTTGTGCGCTCTCTGCAGGGAGCTCCAAATGTGTGTGTGTGTGTGTGTGTGTGTGTACACACACACATATATATATATACACACACACACAAAATCTATATCTCTATCTAATATCTCTCTATCTCTATCTACCTACCTCCATCCATCCATCTCTCCAACTGTCTGTCTGTCTGTCTGTCTGTCTGTCTGTCTATCTATCTATCTATCTATCTATCTATCTATCTATCTATCTATCTATCTATCTATCTATCTNTCTATATCTGTCTGTCTGTCTAATCTCTCCAGCTATCTATCTTCATGTAATCACTATTTGTGACTTCCCAGCAGCTTCCAACAAGCAAAGTGAATGGGGGATACTAGATTCGCTTAACAGCCATGTGACTCACATAACAACTGAAGTGATTCAGTTAACAACCGTGGCAAAACAGATCGTAAAAGTCAAGCGTGATTCGCATATCAACTGCTTTGCTTAGCAAAATAAATTCTGATCTCAGCTGTGGTGCTGAAGTCGAGGGCTGCCTCTCCTCCTCTCTCCTCCTATTCAGCTGCTCGCTGCTTGCCCCTACGCGTCCCTACTCGTGTCCCTACTCGTCTTCCACCGTAGCAGCTTCCTGAACACCTGCGATCTCTTTCCGCTGCTCCTCCTCCTGTGGGACCCAATCGCTTCTCTTCCTCACACGCAGACGCACAAACACACCAATTGCCGTCTCAGCCCTTGGAATGCCTGCAAACCTGGCAGGTGAGGCAAGACTAACGATGCCACCAATTATTCAAAGACAAGATGGCTGCATGCCATCGCATCCTTCAGAGCCCCCCCCCCTCCACGTCCTCTCTCCTGTTTTACCCGGATCGGTTTACCTTTGCAGGAGGCCCACTTCCTCTTAACAGTTAAAAGGGAAACAGGTGGAGCACACCTGGGAGGTATGCAGGGAAGTGGTGTGATCCTGGTTTGCAAATCAGTCTCTCCTTTTCCTGCTTGGGCAATCCCTCCTTCTCTAACCAGAAAAAGCCAGCATTTGTTTCCTAGAGATGTTTTAATGGTGGAATTCTTTAAATCGTCTAGTCCAGAGGTCCCCGATCTTTTGGCTACCAGGGACCGGTTCCATGAAGAAAGGTTTTTCCGTGAACTGGAGAGTGTGTGGTTTTGTGTGCTGCCTGCATCCCATGGATGGGGCTTTGCTTGTTTGTGTGGCCCAGTTGCTGGCATGCTGCAGCCCGGTACCGGTCCATAGATCAGGGGTTGGGGACCCCTGGTCTAGTCCTGGCTGTGTAAACAGGCCGCCTTATCTCCGTCTGCTCTTTTCTTAATCGTTGCTGGATTGAGGAAGTTGGCCTCCCACTAAACCAGGAATTAGATAAACCCAGCAGTCGCTGAGTTTATTTGTGGGGAGGGAGTTGTGTTAAGAAAAATAAATGTTTCAGATCATTGTTGACCCTCTGGACGCTGTAAACCACCATCTTCCTAAATCAAAAGTCCCGCATACATTTTGCCTTGATATTTTCATAGTCTCTGGTGAACAATCCATGCGGGCACTGCAAAATTATCCCTATAAACTCAGCAGACTACTAAATTTATTGGGGAATAGATCAGTGGGGGCAAAGAGGACTGGGTCAAGCAAAATAAATCAAGGCGAATAATTCACATAGCTCCTGAGTTTCATGTTTCGATTAATTCCCAGACTTCTTGAACCTCAAGATCTCCAAAATACATTACAAGTATTCCTCGGCTTGTGATCATAATTGGGACCAGAATAAAATGGTTGTTAAATAAGTTGTGCCGGATTTTACACACTTTTTTTTTTTGGCAGAGTTGTTAAGTGAATCACTGCAGTGAATCACAGTGCGTGACCGTGGGAACACTGTGACGATCGTTAAGTGTGAGAACCGGTTGTGAGTCCCTTTTTTTCCAGTGCTGTTGTAACTTTGAACGGTCACTAAATGAATGATTGCAAATTGAGGATTACCTATATATTTAAACTCTTCGTCCAGCGTGTCTCTGCCTGTGTTTCTCAACCTTGGGCTGCGTTCAGGTGTGTGGACTGTCTCCAAAGCGCCTGAAGGCAGGACAAGAAGCAACGGATGGAAACTAACCAAGGAGAGAAGCAACCTAGAACTAAGGAGAAACTTCCTGACAGTGAGAACAATTAACCAGTGGAACAACCCGCCTCCAGAAGCAGTGAATGCTCCAACGCTGGAAGTTTTTAAGAAGAGACTGGACAGCCATTGTCTGAAATGGTATAGGGCAGTGGTTCTCAACCTGTGGGTCGGGACCCCATTTGGGGTCGATCGACCATTTCACGGGGGTCGCCAAGCAAGGCTGTCTGCCATTTTTTTGTCCGCCATTTTTTCCCCTTTTCCGGCGGGTGCCTTACCTCCCTTGGGCTGGGCCAGCTGGTGGTCGGCCTGCTCCGCCTCTGCCGCTTGCCAGCTACACCTCGGCCAGCGCAGGGGGCAGAACCACACATGTGCGGCGCTCCCGGGCAGGGAAAGTCCTCGACTTATGACCGGTTGGGTAGTCCTTGACTTACGACCGGTTTAGTCCTCGACTTACAACCGGTTGGGGTCGCGGCATTAAAAAGGTTGAGAACCACTGGTATAGGGTTTCCTGCCTGAGCAGGGGGTTGGACGAGATGACCTCCAAGGTCCCTTCCAACTCTGTTATTTTGTTATTCTGCTATTCTATCTTCCTCCCTCCCTTATTCTTTCTCCATCACGGGAGGTTTCCATGAAGAGACAACCACTTGTCTGAAATAATGTAGAATCTCCTTCTTGAGCAGGGGGTTGGACTAGAAGACCTCCAAGGCCTCTTCCAACTCTGTTATTCTGACTTCAACTCCCAGAATTCCCCAGGGGCTGCTGTCCTAGTCCTGAGCACTGTGCAGTTGCAATTGCAAAAGGCAGGCTCTCCGCCCGCTGCAAATTGCAGCCACTTTGCTCCTTGCCTTCTCCTGGGGCCGAAACCTTAGCTCTGGCCTTTTGGAAAGCCTCACAGGATGAAAGGCTATGAGGCTGCAAGGTGAGCAGACAATCGTGGCTCCAGCCTGTCTTCAAACCAGGAAAGAAGCCGTCCAACCTCTCTTCCCCCCCCTCCCCGCAACTCCCCAGAGGCGGCCCACGCAAGACAGGTTCTGCTGCCTTGTTATCTCGGTCCTTCGGGGCCAAAGTAGAGGACCTACCTTTCTGAAGATGAATGATATCTGGGAAGTTGGAGAGGAGTCCCTGATACAAGGAGAGGGAATCCAACATGAGGAACAGGTCGTTCTTGGGTTGCTCGGCAAACATCTCCCCCACCATCTCGTAGGTCTTGCCCGTGTGGGAGATGGCATTGTTGAGGGCATCATAACTGTAAGGTGGGTCCATCTGGAAGGCTTGGCTGATGGCTTGGAAAGCATTGCCCAGTTTTTGGAACTCTTTACGGAAGCCCCCAACGTGCTTCCTGGCCAGCTCAGAAGCCACGCTGGTCAACTGCAGGACGCTGTCGTCCATCTTCTTGTTGAAGGCTTTGAAGATGTCCACTCGGTCCTCCACATCCTGCAGGTCTTGGTGCTCGGTTGGGATCTGGAGGGTCAGGAGGAAACTAGCCCCCACCATCTCATCCTTCTCCGCCCGACGCTTCCCCATCTTCCACTGCTTGTTGTCCCCACAGGTGAGGAAGTGTTGGAAGCCCTCGTATTGGGAAAGCGCCGGGTGGCTGGTCATGTGGTCCATCCACAAGATCAGCCTGCGTTTGCGCTTCTCGATGAAGTCCTCCCCGAAGCGCCCCGTGGCTTGCTTCTCCGGCAGATGGGGCACCGAGATGATGGTGAACTTGTGCAAGAGGCGATTGTACAGCCAGTCGAAGTGTTTGTAGCGCCGGTAAACCGGCGAATTGCCGTTGCTGGGCGTCAAGCGGTAGGAGATGTAGCTCTTGATGCCTTTGAACTTGGTCTGTTTGGTGGGCTCTTCCACGGAGCAGAGGAAAGGGTGTGGGCTGGACCTCCACTGAGGACCTTTGGAGCCCATGTCGATGTAGTAGGCCTCTGAGATCTTGCCCATCATGGGGACATCTCCCAAAATGAAGGCCTCCACTCCAGACCGGACAAAGCTGGAGAAACGGTTGAGGTTCCGACTCACCACGCTTCCTCTCTTGGAAGAGCCAATGCTGTCCTGCCTCTCCAAGGATGGCTTGGCACGGCTGCCGACGTTGTTGGGGTGAGCGTAGGGCCTGGGGCAGGAGAGGCTTGGCGAGGGGTGCCCGTTGGTCCCTGCCCCGCTCCGGGGTTCCTCCACCACCGTGCCATCATCGTCCCAATCGTCCCAGTCGTCCTCATCATCTTCAAAGCTGCCCTGGTGGGAGATGCCGGGGGCAGACGGGGGGACGTAGAAAGAGGACCCATTTCCAGGAGACCCGGTGGGGCTGTTGGAACAGTTGGTGTAAGTTGAGGAGGACCTGGAGCGAAGAATCTCCACGTAAGAGGCGGGAAAGAGGCCTGTCTCTCCTCGGGAGTTGGTGCCTTGCAGCCAGCCATCCAGGGATTTCTCGTTGAAGAGCACCAATTCTTCATTCTCACGGATGCTGATTTCTTCCTTGTTCTCACTCTGGAAATCGTAAAGTGCTCGCGCTTGGACTGCCATGGGGGTGTCCGGTGAGGCGGCCGGGTCTCGGCCACCAATCCCTTCCCCCCTCCCGTGGGTGCTGTTGAAAAGGGGGCTTTTTCCCCAGGAAGCTACCAAGGCCTGCAGGGGACTCTGCAACGGCTCAAGGCGAAGAGAAGAACAGGACTTTGTTGGAAGAACAAAACCATCTGGTGGTGTTTTTACAGGAGGAGGTTTAAGAAGGGCAGTCGCTTTTCACAATCGGCGGAGGGAGGTTAAGAAGGGGGTGAAGCACAGAACGTCTTCCTCGGGGTCGCAGACCTCACTCAGGCCAGGTCCAGAAAAGGCTCATTATTGTAGCCGTATCAAGCAGCCCATCATGGGTTATCCGTAAAGCTCAGCTCTATTTTGAAACCCTGAAATTATAGGTCAGAATTAAGCATCTCGATCCGAAGAGAGACAGCTAAGATGTTTGATCTGTGCGCTCTAAATCTGTTTGGTCCACAGTTAAGAAAACCTGTGGGGGTCTCTTTTTTTTTTTTAACAATAAAGAGAAATACAGGGCAATTCAGGATTTCTCGGGCTTTCAACCCCAGTCTCTCTGGAAGGGGAAAACCAGGAAGAAAAGTCTCTGTTGTTGACCAGAAATGTTTTGCAAGGCTGAATAATAATCCCTGTTGGATCCGATTGGAAACCCACCAGGCTCCCGAAGGGTGGAGGAAAAATGTGAAAAGCTACAAATCACTTCTCTATGGAGAAGGTCACGCCTCAGTCCATACACACAACAAAGTCCACGTGAATCTGTTGCTGTCTCTCCACCAACCACCCTTTTTTGTTGTTGTTGTTCACACCACAAAAATGAGAGAAAAAGAAAAACAGCTCCCCAGATAGAAAATTTTACCTCTTTGCAGGATCTAAAACTTTGGGGCCGGGAAGAAGCCCGCCCAAAGCAAGCAGAGAGTTCACCCACCAAGGTGTCGTCCTCCCACACCCACCGAAGGGCTCTCTGCAAACCGATTGAGATCCACCAGTCAAGCGTAAAATCCCTCGGGGGCGCCCAGAAGAGGTCTCTTTTGTTGTCCGCTCTGGCTCTCTTTCTCTCTTTCTCCCTAGTCGACTTCCAGCGGCTCAGAAACCAGGACAGCGCTCAAAACAGATCACCAACAGGGTTGATTTCAATAAAAATAGAAATCAAGAAGAACGCGGATCGCTGCCGGGGAAACTGGATTTACGTGCACGCGCTTGAGTTCGCTGCAAAGCTCCGGGAAAGCCGATTGCGCGAGGAAGAGGAGGCTGGCGGAAGGCCGGGAGAGGAAGAAGGAATATCCATCCACTCCAGGACTTGGAGAAGCCGGGAACAAGAAAGTTTGCAGGAGTGTCAGGGACACAAAAACTGGCGGGGGGCGGCGGAGCCCCCTTTTTGGAGAGGCGCGCGAGGCCGACGGGTGGCTGGGCAGGCAGTCCAACCGGTTCCACCGCAGGCGCTTCAGGGAGGGACAAGCGACAGCCCCCGGGGACAGGGCGCTGGCAGAGTTCCCTCCTCTCCTGGCGCCGGACGGCCGAGGCAGCTACGCGACCCGGGTCCCCTCGCGCGCAGCCAAACGGTTCTCCTGCAGAGGATGGGGTTGCGCTGCTCTGGCCACCTGGCTGGGGCGCAGCGCCCGTCCGCCTCTCCGGGGGGGTGGCAGGGGGTCCTCCGTGCGCCCTGCTGGCCGCCGCCGCAGCAGCCGGGTCTCTCGGGGCGCAGCTGGCTTCGTTGGGTGCCCCCCTTCCCCCTCCGAAGGGCAGCGAGACCACAAGGCTCGGCTGCCTCCGCGCTCCTGGGCGCAGCTCACCCGCCGGGCTGTTCCGTGACGCACGGGCGCAGCTGCTGCAGCTGCGAACTTTTGCCAAAGGCGCCGGGCGCAAAGCGTTCCGCGGACCCAGCAGGCGGGCGGGCCAGAGTGCGGCCGCCCTCTGTTGGCAGCCGGGGGGGGGGGCGCCGCCTTGACGCTCCGGCTCGGTCCTGGCACGGGCAGCCGCCCTCCCCCCTTCAGCCTGCGCGGCCAGGACTGGGAAGGCGACCAGCCCTGGTTTTTCTTTCTGCGCGGAGAAAGCTTCGCCAGATTAGTTTGATTGCGCGGGGAGGGGGGGCGGTGTCAATAGGAAAACCGCCGAGCCTGTTGCAAAGCCGAGGATTGTTGCTGAATTGCGGGTATTCGAAATGGTGTGGAGCGCTTGGTGCTCTCTGAGCTGGGTGGCTTGCTTGCAGACGTTTCATGCCCCAACTAGGAACCTCGTCAACGTCTGCAAGCAAACGACCAAGTTCAGAGAGCACCAAGCACCTCCAGGGATCCTCTTCCTCCCTTCTCCTTCACTCTGCAAACCCCTCTCCCTTCTAGCACTGAGGATATTACCTAGTTGGGGCACGAAACGTCTGCAAGCCAACAACCAAGTTCAGAGGACCCCACGGCCCTCCTCCCCCATTTCCTATTAGCATTGATGATGCTCCCTAGTTGGGTCATGAAATGTCTGCAAGAAAACAACCAAGCTGCGTAAAGCAGGCGATCGAAGCATCTGCATCAGCGTTTGTGCAGCTTGGCTGCTTTCAGAGGGGTGGACTTCCACTCCCAGAATTCCTCAGCAAGCAAAGGAAAGCCAGCAAAGCAAAACAAATTGGGCTGGGGAACTCTGGGAGTGGAAGTCCACCCCTCTGAAAGCAGCCAAATTGCACAAACACTGATTAAAAACATGGAAAGCTTGAATTGCAAACCACATTTCGAGGTGGACGAGCTCCACACCCCCTAGGAACCAAGAGGGAGAGGAAAGGGCTTCTGGGAAGGGGAGGCGGAAGCTCTAGTTTAGCCCCGCCTCCTAGTCCGCGCATGCCTCCAAACGCGACTTGCACAGCGAAGCCAGCTGGACGTTCCATTTAAAGAAGCGCGCATGCGCCGTTTGCAACTTCCAAGAGGAGGGAGGGTGGCTGGAAGGAGAGAGAAGGCGAAGAGGAAGAGGCGGGGCGGGCCTTCGGAAGGCCTTCCGGAGGCCCCGCCCCTCGAGGTCCCTGCGAGTGACGCAATGGCGGAAGGGGCGGGGCGGGGCGCGCTTCCGTTGGCGGCGTGCGCTGGAAGGCGAGTTCGCGGGTTCGAATCCCGCCTGGCGGCGAGCGAGGCTGGCTTGGGTAAGTAGCGGGGCAGCGACCTCCGAGCGGGGACTTTTCACCAGCCAGCAGGCCTTTTTCCCCTCTCTGATCGTCGTTCCCGAGCTGGGAGAATGAAGCTGATGTTCAAAAAAAAAAAGAAGCAGCAGCAGCCCCTGGGCATGTGCAGAGTGCAATCAAGCCGATCTCTGAAATGGGAGTGGGGTGGCAGTTTCCTCTTCCCTCCTCTTTGGATCCTCTCTGTTCTTCCTACCTTGCAAGGAAAGGTTGGACTACAGTTCTCATCCTGGCTGGGTATGATGGGTGTTGTTTCACCAGCCCTCTTGGGGAAGTAGATCAAGCATCCCACCAGGATGGCGGGTGGCTTGGCATCAGGCTTGGTGCAAGAGTTGGAGCCCTTTTGCCATGGTGGCTTAGCGTTGCAAGGGAACCACAAACCCTGATGAGGAAACCTGGCTTGGTGCAAAGTTCCTGCAACCCCCCCCCCCCAAAAAAAGTGGGAGAACATGCAGAACTTTAGTTAATGCGGGGGGGGGGAGAGCTTAAGTGCAGGGCATGCATCACTCATTTTGCCCCCCCTAGAAAACTGACTAGTCCTCAATTTACAACCGCCATTTTGACCGGAATTTCCACTGCTAAGCAAGGGGGCTGTTAGATGAGTCACGCCTGATTTTATGACCTTTTTTGCCATGGCTGTTACGTGAATCACCCGGTCATTAAGTGAATGCGGCTTCCGCCCATTGACTTTGCTTGTCGGAAGCTGGCTGGGAAGGTGGCAGCTCACATTGTCAATACATGCCGGTTGCTAAGCACCCAACTTTGGATCATGTGAATTCGGGGATCTCGCGACGGTTGTAAGTACAAGGAACAGCTTTTTCCCAGCGTCGCTGTAACTTTGAGCAGTCGCTGATCGAACGGTTGCGAGCTTGAGGACTATCCTGTCTTGCAGACGTGGCCGCCCTGAAGACTTGCGGACTTCAACTCCCAGAATTCCCCAGCCAGCATAGTTTGGAGCCTCTTGCATGGCTGGCTAGGGAATTCTGGGAGTTGAAGTCTGCAAGTCTTCAAAGTGGGCAAGTCTGGAGAGCCCTGCTCTTCTGCACGCATCTATGGCAGTGTTTCTCAACCTTGACAATTTTAAGGCATGTGGACTTCAACTCCCAGAATTCCACAGCCAGCTTTGCTGGCTGTGGAATTCTGGGAGTTGAAGTCCACATGCCTTAAAATTGTCAAGGTTGAGAAACACTGATCTATGGCCTTATTTGGGGAGGGGACGATGGGTCTACGGACCCCTCCCCGTTTGGCCCAGTCGCCCAGCCCACCTGCCCAGAGTAAACGTGACCCTCCGCCCGTCTTCCTCCCTCCAGGCTGCCCCAGAGGAAGAATGGAGGAGCTGAGCCAGGCTCTGGCCTGCAACTTCGTCGTCTCGCAGGACCTGAACAGCCCCGCGGCTCCACACCCACGCCTGGCCCAGTACAAGCCCAAGTACAGCTCCCTGGAGCAGGGCGAGAGACGGCGGCGGCTGCTGGAGCTCCAGAAAACGTAAGAGAGCCCCCCCCCCGCCATTAAACCCAGTGGGTCTCTTGTCCAGACCCACCACGGGAGGTGGGTGGTGGGTGGCTTTGCAGGCTTTTCCTCCCTGGTTTGGAACGGAGGGCACTCCGTTTCTTTTCTACTACTTTTTATTTATTTCTTTTAAAAAAAAATTTATTTTTTAATTATATTTCTTATGGCTGCTCCTAAAAAGTCTCGGGGTGGCTTACGGTATCCAAATAGCCAATTAAAAACAGTTTTAACAAAAATTTAAAAAGGGCAGCACAGAATGAAAATAAGGATAGAAATAAAAACATGACGCGTGAACTTCCTTCCTTTCTTCCTTCTCACTATCCTCCATTTTTCTTCCTTCCCTCCCTCTTTTCCCCTTTCCTTCCTTCCTTCTCACTCTCCCCCTTCCTGTTTTCCCCTTTTCTCCTTCCTTCCTTCCTTCCTTCCTTCTCACTATCCTCCCTCCATTTTTCTTCCTTCCCTCCCTCTTTTCCCTTCCTTTCCTTCCTTCTTTCCTTCCTTTCTTCCTTCTCACTCTCCCCCTTCCTGTTTTCCTTCCATTCCCCTTTTCTCCTTCCTTTTTTCCTTTCTTCCTTCTCATTATCCTCCCTCCATTTTTCTTCCTTCCCTCCCTCTTTTCCCCTTCCTTTCCTTCCTTCTTTCCTTCCTTCCTTCCTTCTCACTCTCCCCCTTCCTGTTTTCCTTCCATTCCCCTTTTCTCCTTCCTTCCTTTCTTCCTTCTCACGATCCTCCCTTCATTTTTCTTCCTTCCCTCCCTCTTTTCCCCTTCCTTCCTTCTCTTCCCTTCTTTTTGGGGATCCATCATAACTTCAGACAGTTCTTTAAGCATCCTTAAGCGAGGCATCCCGTTTTTCTTCCCAAGGGGACTCTTTGTGGATAACTTCTAGATGTTGAGCTCGCCTTGTTTCTGTCCCTTTCAGGTTTTTCTTCCCCTGTAGGGTTAAACTTGATTTTACTTTTTTTTTTCTTCTGTCAAGTAAGCGGCTGGACTATATAAACCATGCCAGAAGGCTGGCGGAGGATGACTGGTCCTACACAGCGGAGGAGGAGAAGGAAGAGGAGGAGGTAGAGGACGACAAGGGCAAGGAGGGAGAGAGAGCCAAGGCTGATGGAGATCATGAAGACATGGAGCTAGACCTTGTAAAGAAGCTACCGAAACGCTATGCCAACCAGGTAGGCCTGCTTCGAGCAGAAAAAGGGGGTCAGTTTTCCTTGTTTTAAAATTATTGTCATTTTACTTGTCAGTGGTTCAGCCCTTTGAATAGGGATCTAAGTTAACAGGTGGTTGCAATAGATAGATACTTTCAATATTTCTCTTGATGGATTTTCATCAAACTCATTAATGCCTCCAAAAACTCAACTAAACTAGAAAACTTAGGAAATGCAAGTTGGGTTTTTACAGCATCATCCGGTAGCTGAAGGTTGAATAAATCAAAACAAACCCAGTCTCAAAATATAAAGCTGATAGAGGTATGAAACCGCAGGCAGGGTGGCCCAATTAAAACAGTTTAAAAAAATTAACAAATTTGTTTCTAGTTGTTACAGTTTTCCAGGCTGCTCTTTTTCTTCCTTTAAAAGTAACACACCGTTGAATCTTTTTTTTTTTAAAAAAAAACCCACTGCAACAAAACAGCAAAAACAAAGAAAAGGGAAGCATACATAAAATAAACTATACACTAGAGCAGAGATGGAAAGTCTTAATTTTTTTGATGTAATCTTATTTTCACATCCAGTTTTTTAAACCTTGGTTTGATACAATAAAACGGTTACTTTTTTTTTTTTAAAAAAAAGGAAAACCATCCATTATTTTCTATACGCCTTACAGAATACTTTCAGCAAATTTGTGTTACAATTATTCTTCAGACTTTAAAATAATGATAAGATCCCGCAGGGAAAGAGAAACATTGGTGTTCAAACGTTTTGTGTGTGTAAATAAATGCACAGTCATGAAAATAAATTATATTCAACTCATGAAAATTGTGGGGTTATTTTTTTTCACTCCAAATTCCTTTCTGCCTACAGACTTAAAATGATTTTCAGATACTCTAAATCCTAAAAAACACCAAGGAATGAATAGCTACGGGACCAGGGTTCGAGAATCTTTTTTTAAAAAATAGTTCATGGAAGAACAAAAGAGCCAAAATTCTTGATAATTTTCCCTCTTGTTTTATTTCTATTGATCAAATGGGTAATCAAACTTCTTAACAAAATTATTCCCCAGGAAAACAGGGACAGGAAATCTCCTTAGCCACTTTCCACCTATCCCAAAAGGACCTTCCCTTCCAGAAAAAAATCCTAGAGAGGGACTATTGTTAATTTTTTATACACATATACATGTTTTAAATCAAAGTTTTAGAAGTCAGACAAACTAAAGTAGAAGGAGAAAGAAAGGGAGAAATAAAAGAAAAAGTTAAAGGTATAAAAAAGGAAAGGAAAGAAAAGTAGAAAGAAAAAAATATAAAAAGAACTGACTTCTGAATTTCTTCACAGCAGATAAACGTACAATTATATTTTCTCTCTAAAGTTACATCAAGACACTCTCCTTTTTAAAACCTGTCTTTTGATGACATGTCTTGTCCTCAAACCATAAATCACACGTTCATTTCCCCCCCCTTTTTTTTACACAAGTCCTTAAGTGACTGATAAATGCAGATTTTACACAAGAAGTCTTTTCCAGTCACTGATAAATGCAGATATTGGCTTTTCTCTGATCAAATAAGTCAGTTTGGCCATTTCCACAGGTCCTGTTGCCTTCACTACTGTAGTGTTAATTATTTTGATGGCTACCTCGATCAGCAAGGCCATCCTTATCACTCTTCTGAAAATTATTATCCCAGGCAACCAAGTCTTCTAATTAAAACCAAGGCCTCTGTGTTGCACCTGCTGTTCGCATTTATTTATTTATTTTACAGAGACTGCCCAAGGTTGATTTTTTTTTCTTCTGCTTATTCATTTCATCTTCTTACTCCTTAATAATTGACTCACTAGGCTTTATATTCTTCAAGGTGAAAAACAAGATGAGAAAAAGGCATCTAATAATCACAAAGAAAACTGTGGTCACCAAGGAGCTTTTAACCTCCTAGCACAGTGTTTCTCAACCTCAACAACTTTACGATGTGTGGACTTCAAGTCCCAGAATTCCTCAGCCAGCATGCTGGCTGGAGAATTCTGGGAGTTGAAGTCCACACATCTTAAAATTGCTGAGGTTGAGAAACACTGTCCTAGCACAAGCCAGGATGGGGTTTTACTCACATTAGGTTCCCTTGGAAAATTAAGCTTTGGCAGCTGGTCTAATGGTATGGAGGTGGAAGCTAGTTTGATCTTTGGAAGAAGAGAGGAGCAGATGGGGAGGCGGGGTTCCCCTTAATGGGTCCTGAAGATGACAGTCCAAGGAGTTTGAGGCAGATCTACCTAGCTGGAAGTCTCTTCGATATCCAACTTCTGAGTCATCCTAAACTGGCTCAGGATGTTGACTCAGAAGTTGGGTTGACTGAATCCTGTAGCCAGATAGATGTCACGAGAAATGAGAATCTGTGCTAGGATGTGCCATTGGTTCATCTGGAGGGGGGATTTAAGGTCTTCTTGGAGACATCAGTGGAGAGCTGAAGATCTTGGACATTTACATCAGGCGCTCAAAAACTGACCTACAGCATTGTGTTTTTTCATTGGGGGTCAGATGGTTCCCCTTCTCATTCTGGATCTTTTCTAGGTTTCTCGGAACGGTTGATATATCTGTTTCCTCTCCCCTTCTCTGCAGCTGATGCTTTCTGAGTGGCTGATTGATGTTCCCCCAGATCTGGATCAGGAGTGGCTCTTTGTGGTGTGTCCTACGGGGAAGAGAGCTCTTGTGGTGGCCTCCAGGGTAAGAAAGCAGGTGGAGAGCCAACATGGCGTTGTGGTTGAGGGTTGGATGGCCAATGGGAAACTCAGATTCGAGTTCAGTCTTGGCCATGGAGAGTTGTGGGTGACTTTGGGCTGGTCCCTCCCAGCCTTAACCTGCTTCTTCAGGTTGTTAGGGGAAGAAGGTGAGAGTGGTGGATACATCACCTTGTGCTTCTATATGATGAAGCAGGAAGTCCTTTTCCTCCTCTTCCTCCTCCCACTCCCTCCTCCTCTTCTTCTTCTTCTTCTTCTTCTTCCTCCTCCTTCCTCCTCCTTCCTTCCTCCTTCTTCTTCTCCTCCTCCTCCTCCCGCTCCCTCTTCTACTTCTTCTTCTCCTCCTCCTCCTCCCGCTCCTTCTTCTTCTTTTTCTTCTTCTTCTCCTCTTCTTCTTCTTCTCCTCCTCCTCCTCCTCCTCCTCCTCCTCCCCCTCCCCCTCCTCCTCCTCCTTCTTCTTCCTTCTTCTCTTCCTTCTCCTCCTTCTCCCTTCCGCCGAGCCAAGCCCCAAATAAAATGGATCCTTTGCCCTGAAAACCATGTTCTCATTTTTTTTCCCCTCTTGCTTTGCCCCCCTTTAGGGCACCACAGCAGTGTACACCAAAAGTGGGTTTTGTGTCAATCGCTTCCCTTCTCTCTTGCCTGGTGGGAACCGGCTTAATTCGGCAACAGGGAAAGGTGAGTTTCTGACTTTTTCTCCTCACGACCGCTGTTGTTGTTCTTGGCAGGGACAAAATCAAAACAGAAATTGTGCACAATGTTTTACCTCCTGATTTATAACACCGTCAGAACTGAACACAAAGGCTAATCTCGGTTGGTGTCCCTTACAGAATACACCATCCTGGACTGCATCTACAGTGAGGTCCAGCAGACGTACTACGTCCTTGACGTGATGTGTTGGCGGGGACACCCTGTCTATGATTGCCAGGTAACTATGGCTGACCTTACACAACCAGGTCAGCTAGCGATGCCTCAGAGGTGCCTCCTAACCTTGGTTAGTGTTAGGTTTAACTTGGTAAATATCTGTGAGGGTTCTCAGTCGTCCGAGTTATGATTGTCCCAAGGTGGGGTTTTTTTTTCAGGAGGCAACTGGACCTCCTTGATTTTCTTTGAAGACATTTTGCTTCTCATCCAAGAAGCTTCTTCAGCTCTGACTGGATGGTGGGGAATGGAAGGATTTATACTCCTTGCAGACATTTGCCTTCTTTTAGAGAGTCAATGAGGCCATTTGGAGTTTACCTGTGTCCTCAGGGTCACCTGAAGTAGTGCAAATGGGTGTGGAGCCTTCTTGGAGCTGCTGAAAGGACGGTGTTGCATCCCAAAGCTGCTTTTTCAAGAGGCAACTGGACTTTTGTTTTTCTTTGAAGACATTTCACTTCTCATCCAAGAAGCTTCTTCAGCTCTGATTGGATGGTGGGGAATGGAAGGATTTATACTGCTTGCAGACAGCTGGTCATTTGCCTTCTTTTAGGGAGTCATTGAGGCCATTTGGAGCTTTACCTGTGTCCTCAGGGTCACCTGAAGTAGTGCAATTAGGTATGGAGCCTTCTTGGAGCTGCTGAAAGGACGGTGGTTGTAGACTGGAGATAGATGATGTCGGATCCCTCCCCCTCTGTTGAGGGAGGGCCGTTCAATTTTGACCTTTCAAACCAGCAGTCCTCTCTGTCCAGGATGTGGACTTCTCTGTCTTCAAAAAACTGACCTTTGTCTTTTCAAACGCAGATGGACAGCTGAATCTTGTATTTTGTGACTTAGGATGCTGGCTGCGCCTACGATTCAGTCGCTTGGGTGAACCCCAGAATTCAAGATGAAATCTACTGTACTGGAGTGTCTGGATAAGCTGGGGGGATGCAGGGAGAAACATTTCTCACCTCTTGGTCCCTTTTTCCCCCTTCTCCAGACAGATTTCAGATTCTACTGGCTGCATTCCAAAATGGAGGAAGAGATGGTCTTGTCGGAGAAAAGCCGACTTAACCCAGTGAGTCATTTTTATTCTTATTTTGACCAAAATGGGCAGGCTGGTTGGACTGCAAGGGGACCCTCAAGCGCCATTAGAAGCTTGTCAGTTTAGGATCACGTGCACAGAAATTAGGCATTATGCAGTGGAGCATTTATACAATTAGTCCTCGACTTACCACAGTTCATTTAGTGACCATTCAAAGTTACAACACCTTTGGGGGGGAAAAATGATTTAGGACTGTTTTTCACACTTATGACTGTGGCAACATCCCCGTGGTCACGTGATCAAAATTCAGATGCTCGGCAACTGGCATGTACTTACGACGGTTTCAGTGTCCCAGGGTCACGTGATCCCCTTTTGCGACCCTCCGAAAAACAAGACGAGGAAGCCAGATTCACTTAACAACCGTTTAACGTAACTTAACAATGGCAGTGATTCATTTAACAGCTGGGGCAAGAAAGGTCGTAAAATGGGGCAAAACCCATTTAACGACCCTCTGGCTTAGCAACAGAAATGTTAGGCTCAATTGTTGTCGTAAGTCAGGGGTCTTCAAACTTGGCCACTTTAAGACTTGTGGACTTCAACTCCCAGAATTCCTCAGCCTGGCTGAGGAATTCTGGGAGTTGAAGTCCACAAGTCTTAAAGTGGCCAAGTTTGAAGACCCCTCCTGTCGTAAGTCGAGGACTGGCTGTATTGTATTGATCCGGCCACATGGAATGCAATGAAGTCAATTCCCAATCCATAGTGAGTCAATTTCAGCGGAAATTTATTTTACTCGGCCCTCTTCCAAAGCTGGATGTTTTCTCCCAGGAGAAAAATGTCACTTTTTGGATAATTAAAGTCGTCCTTGTTTTTTATTGAACAAGCAGGCTGTGATGGGAAGAGACCTCCCTGTGGGTTTGAAGAAAAAGAAATAGAAATTAACCAACTTATTTTCCAAAACGTTTCTTCCTGGTGGCCTGTTCTGTTCTCCTATATCAGGACAAGGAAACTGGCACCATCTAATAATTGTCCATAAATAAGGGGGAGACTTTTACAAAGCTGTACTCCTAATTTTATTCCGTTTTGCTTTTATTTTGTTATGCTGACTGAAGGAGAGCCCCATTTTTTTAAAATTTTGGCTTGGCTTGGTTTATATAGCGCTGGCAGGGGAATTCTGGGAGTTGAAGTCCCCACGTCTTCCAAGTGGCGTTGGTTGAGAAACACTGGCCTACCCCATATTTGCTGCGTTGTTTGGAGGTATACTGCTTCTAAACCTGGAGGCTCAATTTCCTACTCATCCATCAACTAAAGCAGCAGGTTTATTTATACATATAGGCTGACTTCTTTGACCTCTTTTCCAGTATAGGTTTGTGGGCCTCAAGAGCTATTCCTGCAATGCAGCCAGCCTGTGTGAGGTTCTGGCCATGACATTCCCCTTCGAGGTGAGTTTTGCCTTTTCAGACATGCTGGTTAACATGGGTGCATCTCAGTTAATGTCTTTCATAAATTGCTTTCATTCCAGACTGGGTCTGCAAAGGAGGGGTCCTTCTACTGGGTTCCCCAACGATGAGCTCCCCAAGGTAGCACCTTCCGGATACCGGCACCCCCATCACACACATACAGACCCCACACAAACTATCCCCTCACTCGCTATCTGGGTGTGCAGTACTTGCCTCCAGAAGTTGTGGATGCTCCAACACTGGAGGTTTTTAAGAAGAGACTAGACAGCCATTTGCCCAGAATAGTAGAGGGTCTCCTGCTCCAGCAGGGGGTTGGGCTAGAAGACCTCCAAGGTCCCTTCCAACATGTATTCTCCTTAAGCAAAGCCACTCTGACCCAAGATGGGATTCTCAAAGCATGGAGCTCCCCCTGCTGGGCTTTCAGTGGAAACACAGCTCCCCTGGTGGAGAAAGCTGGGCACCCCCTTCGGAGGGGAATAGCGGTCACATGACCCTGGGACACTGCAACCGTCCTAAATACAGGTTGCCAAATGCCCGAATTTTGATTGCACGTCTGTAGGGAAACTGCGAGGATCGATCCTAAATCCCTTTTTTTTCAATTGTGTTCTTGCTCTGAATGCACCTAAGTCAGAACTACCTGTATTATAATCAAAATACTTAATAAGGAAGGGAGGAGCTTCAGTCGCACTGCCGCAGCCGCCATCTTGACTTTTTTGCCCTCTGTTTCCATGGGCACTCGTGCCCCCTGCTGAACCGGACCTAGTTTTTTCCTTCCTGTTTCTCCTGCAGGTAGACGGGCTCCTTTTCTATCACAAACAGGCTCACTACAATCCCGGCAGTACGCCGTTGGTGGGCTGGCTGCGCCCTTACATGGTCTCCGACATCTTGGGCATTGCGGTGCCCAGCTGCCCGCTCACCTCCAAGCCGGGCTACGCGGGGCAGCAGCTGCAGCAAATCATCGAGCACAAGAGGAATAAAAACCAGCAGCCAGGAGCTGCTGACGATCCCGCCTCGCAAGACGGGCGTTACGAACTGGAGCACTTGTCCACTCCTCGAGTGGAGCCATCGGCGCCCGTCTTGGAGGAGAGCGAGTGCCAGATGGATAACTGATTAGAGGCCAGAAAATGGCCAGGATCGGTCGAGAATATCCTCCATAAACCCAGATTGGAACCCCACCATCTCCAACGATTGGCATGTAACGGGATAGTTTCGTTCCTAGGGTTTCGGCCTCTTTGTCCTGTTTTAGAGATGCTGCCATCCATCCATGCCCACAATTGAGTTTCTGAATAAATTGGAATACGAGCCGCTATAAACCTGGGCTCAAATTCTCCCAGATCAATCTCACACACACACTCAGGCCTTGGATTGCAGGGCGCTGCTTTCCCACATTCCTCAAGGCCCAACGGGTTTCCCCAGTTCCAGATTCCAAATTTGAAAGAGAGGTGTGAAGTTTCAAACAACCCAAAAAAAACCCCACGTATTGTGCCACTTGGGACTGCAGTGAAGTTAATTTCCAGTCCGCCCCAGAGTCAGTGGCGGTAGAGTCAATTTCAGTATGGCGGTATGGTCGAAAATGTCAAGATGGCCACAGGGTGGTGATTTTTTTTTAGTGGGCGGAGCTTCGCTCGCACCCTGTGGCCGCCATCTTGACTTTTTTGACCGTATCTTGGGGTCGTCGCTGCACAGATTTGACGTTAGGAGCTACACGTTATGCACTCCTCACATAAAGGGAAAGACAACCCAGAATAGATAAAAGACACAATTCACATGCTGAAGCCTTTTGGCTTCCCTCTAATTCTGCCACATTTCTGGTGTTGGGAATGTTGGTGTTGCACTCTTGAGATTCACCAAATAAAGAGCTTCTGAAAAAACTCCGGAAAATAATTAATCCTCTTTCTCTACCCGACTCACCCTTCTAATCACCCTCCACTTAGCTGGCTTCGTGGCCTAAGGGAATGGCTGATTCAAAGTCATTAAAATTCACTGTTAATCCAATGCCTGAACTACTAGTCCAAGGGGACTCTTTGCTTCAAATATATGATTCCTGGTTTCAAGTATTTTCTGATTCTCAGTTTCAATTTTTTGATTCTTGATTTCAAGAATATGTCTTATCTTTCTTGATTTCAAATATTTTCCAATTCTCTCAATTTCAAATGTTTTCTGATCCCTGAGTTCAAGTAGTTCCTGATTCTCCCAATTTTGAATATTTTCTGATTCCTGATTGTGAATATTTTCTGATTCCTGATTTCAAATATTTTCTGATTCCCGATTGTGAATATTTTCTGATTCTTGATTTCAAATAGTTCTTGATCCTCTCTTCCTCAACTTTTTTGATTTTCCCCTAACTTCAGCCTTGCCAAGTTGTTCCTCTTTTTTTCTTGCTAGGGTTTGGAAAGCCCAGGAAAATTCTGTTGATTTATAGTTTGTTTTTGTTTTTGGCTTTTTGATTTTTTGCAGAAATGAGGTTTGCATCTGGCAATAAGGCCTGGTGTAACCATGCTTGATGGACTGGGTTGCAATTGCCATGTGAACACCACCTAAGCCCTAAATCGTGGCTTATAAACCTCAGTGAGTTCATGACAACATGCTTGGCCTAAACAAGAAGAGTACAACTTTGACCACTTTAAGACTTATGGACTTCAACTCATGGCTGGCTGGGGAATTCTGGGAGTTGAAGTCCACAAGTCTTAAAGTGGCCAAGGTTGGACAACCCTAGCCTAAGTCAGGTTACAGCTGGACTTCACACTGTGGGACATCTTGAATTTTTTGTTAAGAAGGCTCTTTGGGGAGCTGAAAATTCATGCATCGATTTCTTTAAAACTTCTTGAGTTTCTCGTGTTACTACCGAGGGCTTTGGACCGCTGAGAATTCAGGGTCTCTTGAGAGAAAAAGCTAACAGTGTTTTGAGCCTGGGAAATTGGCTTTCCTCTCAGCCTCCAGACAGGAAATGCTCTCCATTCTGGAAAAAAACCAGAGCATCATCTTAGCACAGAAAGGGACTCCCTACTTGGATCCTGGCCATTTTCATCCCAAGCCAACTCCCTAGCGTAGCCTTTGGGGGCAAAATCTGCAAATATCTCCTGCTCTGTAATTTCACGTCCTTGCCTCGTTCCTGCTCAACACTCAGCAGTGGATCACGACTTGCTATGGCAGTGATGTCCTTTGTGGGTCTCTTGCAAAGGAAACATTTTGAGAGGACTTAAAAATCAAGACTTGCACTCAGCTCCTTTGGATCCTAAGCACCCTTTGCTACTTTTCCTGCCACAAGGACTAGAAGCTTCCCTTTTTCAAATCAAGGAAAACTAAACAGTTGACCACCTGTGTTCCAGTAGGCACCCTTTGCTACTTTTCCTGCCACAAGGACTAGACGCTTCCCTTTTTCAAACCAAGGAAAACTAAACAGTTGGCCACCTGTGTTCCAGTAGGCACCCTTGCTACTTTTCCTACCACAAGGACTAGAAGCTTCCCTTTTTCAAATGAGAGAAATCGAGACTAACTCTCAGTACACTTTCCTTATTTAATTTTTTTAAATACCAGAATGCCAGCAAGCCTAAACCCGCCGGTTATTCAGCAAAGAAATGAAAAGGGGGAAAAAATGTGCACACCGATGGGAAGTCTCGAAGCCGGTGGCTCACAAAAGTCCTGGGTTTGAGCAAAAGAAGTGCCAGGAAGCCAACCGAGGGCTAAAAAGCAGCGAGGTGCAAGCTTTCTAACTATAAATACAGCTACAGCCTGTCTCCAATTCTCTGAATAGCCCAGGGTGGTTTTCAAGAGAAATGACATCATGGTTAAGGGCCCGATGTGTTTCTCGATAAACTCAGAGTCGCTCTCCATCCGCAGACAATGGGCCTTTTTAAAATCCACCCCGCCCTCCCCCCCAGCCTTCTTTTCTCAGAAAGCCACATTTTCCTTGCCAAGAATGTAGGCGACTGGCAACTCATTGGGTGGCTGGTGCAGCCAGAGAGCAACCTGGCCCAGGAGGGGGGAGGGGGGAGAGAAAGAGAGAATTTAACAATTCCCCTTTGCAAGCTAGAGAAAGCTGCAAACTTAAAGATGATCAGGGGCCTGGAGGCTAAAACATATGAAGAAAGGTTGCAGGAATTGGGTATGTCTAGCTTAATGGGGGGGAAAAAAGAACTAGGGGTGACAGGATAGCAGTCTTCCAGTATTTAAGGGGCTGCCACAGAAAAGAGGGGGTCCACCTCTTCTCCAAAGCACCTGAAGGCAGGACAAGATGCAACGGATGGAAACTAATCGGAGAGAGAAGCAACCTAGAACTAAGGAGGAATTTCCTGACAGAACAATTAACCAGTGGAATGGCTTGCCTTCTGAAGTTGTGGGTGCTCCGTCACTGGAGGCCTTTAAGAAGAAACTGGACAGCCACTTGTCCAAAATGGTCTAGGTTCTCCTGCTTGAGCAGGGGGGTGGACTAGAAGACCTTCAAGGTCCCTTCCAACTCTGTTATTCTATTGTGTTCTGTTTTGAAAATATATAGGAATGCAATCTGCAGACCCCCCATCTCGTAGCAAGGGCTGCCCTGAAAGGGTCTTCTGGCTGAGCTTTGCAAAGACCAGACTCCCCCCCCCTCATTTTAGGACAATGGGGTGGGATTCTAGGAGGGCTGACTTAATTCTATTGATGGAGAAGGTGGTGTCCATCTGCCATGCAGTTCAGAGTGGGGTTCTGTAGCCATTGCTCAGATGGGACTCCCATCTGGACAAAAATAGCTTTGGGTTTTCCTCGCCTCCCCCACTAGCTGTGGGGAATGACAGGATCAAGATGTCAACCCTGCAAGGTAGAGCAGACCAGGAATGGGACCTTGTAAGATGGCTGAGGCCAGCCGGATGGAGACTGGCTCCGATGACTCAAATTTTGCAAGTCTAACTGTGCTTTCCCCTCCTAATACTGGTAGGTGTCTGCTTAAGCCACTTCCAAATGTTGTCTGGTTGTTTTAGACCTAAAAAAATGTTTAAGAAACAGGTCACATTTGTTCTAGCTGCCTTATCATCTTCACCAACAAGGTTTTACCCCCAGCTTCTATGGCTCACTTATTTTAGAACAGGTAGCCCTCAACTAACGGCTTCAAGGTTACGACGGTGTTGGAAAAAAGCAACTTATGACCGGTCCTCATACTTATGACCACTAGTGTCCCTGCAATCCTGTGATCAAAATTTGGACACTTGGCAACCAACCTATATTTATGGTGATTGCAGGGTCCCATGGTCGCCGTTAGTGACCATGAGGGAGGAGGAGGAGGAGGATGCATTAACCCCCAAGGTTGCTGAACATGCTGACCCAAATCTCTCCTGGCCCACCTCACAGGGTTGTTGTAGGGGAAAAAAGGGAAGGATTATGAGGTATGTTCACTGCCTTGAGTTACTGATACAAAGACAATAAAGGTGGAATACAAATAAATAACATAATCTATATAAATAAAAATGTAAATGTTCGTTTGTTCAAAATCTTAAATCTCCGAAAGTTCTTCACCGATCGCTTTGAAATTTTGACACAATGTTGCATCCGAATACTCGTGTGTTTTTATATACCTACTATTATATAGATGTCACACCTGTGACAGGTAAAAACATGCTTTTTTGACAAGCATTGTGAAATTAAACATATTGCAAACGTGCGCTTTCTCTTTTCTTTCTTTTCCATTTAACCAGACTGAGCCACAGCAGTGCGTGGCCGGGTACAGCTAGTAGTAAATAAATGTTCTTGTAGCTTCTGGATAGTTTGATCCCTGTTTCTCTCCATCTTTCCATCACCCTCCCTGCTCTCTTCCACCTCCTTCCCCTTCCTTTTCTTCATCCTCCTTTTCTTCCTTGTCCCTTCTTTTTCCTTCTCTTCCTCTTTTTTCCTTCCCCCTCTTCCTTCCAGTTCCTTCTCCTTCCTCCTCTCCATCCTCCCCTCTTCCTTCTTCTTCTCCTCCTTGACGCACTTCCCCTCCACGTTCTTCCCTCCTCTCCTCCGCTTTTCCTCCTTCCTCTCGGTATTCTTCCCCCCTCTTTCCTTCTCCCTCTTCCTTCCGCTTCTTCTTCTCCTCCTCCCTCCCCTCCTCCCCTCTTCCTCTTCTTTCCGCACTTCCTCTCCGCATTCTTCCTCCTCCTCCTCCTCCTCCGGCCCGCCTCCCCAGCAACCTCCCCGCCCCGCGGGCCCACGAATGGGATGCCGTTTCCCCAGGCGGGGGGGGGGTGGTGAGCAGCCCCGGCGCCGGGAAGGGCTGGCCTCCCTCCCCCCTCCCTCCCTCCCCCCCTCTCTTTGCTTTTGAGGAATCAGCGCTGCGAGGAAGGCTGGGCGGCAGATCCGCCCGCCTGGGCGGGGAAGAAGGGGAGTGGGGGGGGGGCCGGCCAAGCCAGCGGGAGCGGATCCATCCATTTCCTAATCCTTCCCACCCCCACCCCACCCCCTCCGCTTCTCAGCACACACTCACCCAGAGAGACTCCTCCTCCCTCCTCCCTCCTCCTCCAGAAAGCAACAGTTCGAAGGAAAGTCTGCCCCCCCCCCGCCTCATTTCCTCCCAGTCCGGGAAACGAGCCCATCCGAATCGGGGGGGAGATTTGCGCTTTGAGTGAGCGGAGAAACTTCCTCCTGCCCCCCCCTCCCCGATTTTCTCTCTCTGTCTCTCTCTCTTTTGCCAGCGGAAAGGGTCCCCCCTCCTCTATTTTTCCTGCCTCCTCTTCTTCTTCTTCTTCTTCTCCCCAGGTTTCCCCCCCCCCCCCAGAATAGCTTGGCGTGCTGGGAGGGTTTGGAAGCCAGGAAGCCGTTTCCAGCAGCAATTGGGTGTTTTTTATTATTATTATTATTATTATTTTAATTTTTAAACCAGAATTGTTGCCAACAGAAGGCAGGAGAAAAAAAAAGG